ATATGAAAAATTAAAATAGAAAATGCTACTGCTGCTCTGGTTAGATTTCACTTAAAGATTCTGTGATCGTAAAATACAGTAATAGAAAAAAAACATTGTTCAGCTATTACTTTGCATGTAAACAATTTATGTAATTGGAATCATTATGTAATTGATGCACATAATGAGAGAAATTTTTATTAACCACATGCACCACATGCAAGGTAAGATCAAAAAAACTCCAGCACACATATTACTGAACAGACAACGTTAAGACCAGGAACTTGTTTCTCAGTCAACTGCCAAAGCAAACAGTTTTTTGGGTGGACAGAGTGCTAACATGGGTGGCTAACATGTTTATGAAATAGAACACAGAATCTTAAATGTTGCAATTTGGAGAAAAAAAAAATAAAAAACTGGCACCACAGCAAAACACCTCCGTAACATTGATAGCACTCCTAATCATGAGAAAGCAGGAAGGATAATTAGCAGCATCTGCTGCAGCCTGAGCTGCTACCGTCTGGCAGGAGATAGAGACACTCTGTGAATTAAAGTAGCACGTTTTTTTTTAAATTGGGGAAAACCCTGCCTACACAGTATAGTCTCTTTAGGCGAATGCCTGAGAAGAAACTTGCACATCATTATTTTTGTTTTCAGGTGTAAAACTAAAAATTGTGCTAAAAAACTATTGAATGGTTGAGTCATGGAACAAACAGAAATCCACCAACGAGAAGTTTAAAAAGTAAAAAGGTCAAATTGCAAACAGAAACAAATTGTACTTACTCGCATACAAAGCTTCCCTGTGGTATGTCTTGCAGTGCCCGGACACCCCAACCCTTCTTACTGGTCCTGAAAAGCTGAAGCCTGGTCCTGGAAGATCCACAGCATCTTTGAGAAAGTCTTATTTTGTCTTCCTCAAGTAGATGTTTACCTTCACACGGGCTATGTTAGTGCATATCATATCAAAGCAGCACTATATGAGCATACAGCCTTAACTGTGTGTGATAGTTACACAGACATTTGAACAGTGGCTCTACCACCACAGAGGCTGCTTTAGGGATGCTGCTGACATCTGGATTTTGCTGCCTGGCTCTTCACTAGCCTCAATTCTGCTCAACTGTCTTACAAACAAAAACAGAAGAGGAAACCATTAACTAAATACAGGTGCTCTTTTTTTGCTGTTGTTTTTAGTAGAGGTCTTCACAGATCCAAAAATTCAGATCCGACCTGAAACAGGCCGTAAAACAGACCTAAACCCAACGTGCATAAATTCATTCTCAAAAAAACAAAAAAAAAACAAACAGAGCTTGAGGAGGACCAGAGGTCTGCCAGACCCGACCTGAATGTACACAAAGATAATTGGACCCGATGCAAAAGGCGGTTCACCCAACAACCACACTGATGCCTAATTAGATCAACTAACAGGAGCAATGGAAGAGCGCAGCAATATAATAGACTAGACTAGATTAGATTAGATTAGATTAGAATAGAATCAAAGTTCAACTTCCAGCTCCTGAACAATAAAACATGCTGTAAAAAGGCTAAATGTTTTCACCAGTTTAATAAAAAGCTACTAAATCATTTGATAACTTATAAACAGAAATTCTGAAAAAAAGACTTAGTTTAAAAGTTGCATCCTTGTCTGATTTGGATTATTTGGATTTTTAAGAATAAAATATCATCTCATACTGTCTGAATGATAGCCTTGCTTATAGAATGAGTCCAATGTGACGATTAATTTGTTGTGATACAAAAAACATGATACACACTGAACACAGAATCTGCACAAAACTTGACCAAACAGCTGATGTGCCAGTTGGTCTAACCTCCCTGTACTCACTGTCTCCTAATTTGCTCCGCACTTCAGCAAAGAATGCCTCCATCTTCTCTTCCCTGTCCCTTCGTTTAACATTCTCCCGTGGTGACTGTGACGCAGCACATCAGCCTATTCTGATCCACACAGGTCTTGAACATATTGGCACACAGACCCGAAACTTGAGACAGTGAATCTTGACCTGAACCAACCCAACTAGAATGAGCAAAGTTTGGACTTGACTCGGGTCCCGGGTGGGGTTGAGGTCCTCAGAACCGAGTGGACCCATGAATACCTCTAGTTTTTTTTAGTTTGTTTGCACACTGAGATGCACTTCAAATACCTGATTCCATTTTGCACCACACGGTTCTTGCAGGTCCTCCAACAGGAACACGCATGGTTACACTCAAAGATGAGGGGAGGTGCCTCGCGACAGAATTCAGGGAGAAGATGCCCACTCTGAACATGACAAAAAATGATTTATTAATACTATACACTACATGGTATGTGGACACCTTACTCACATTCTTGTCTCTACTTTGGTCTGGTTTTCATAGTCTGGCTTTGGTCCCATAGTTTCAGTGAATTCTTACTGTTCGAGTGTCCACATACTTTGTTTGGTTCATCTATGCGGTCATTTGCACTCACCTTGTCATACCAACAACGCAGGCTGAGTTGTCCACACATGCAGATACTTGCTGAACAGTCTTCTTTACAAACACAGTACTGTTAGCCATGGATAAAGAGAGACATGTAGAAATGGTCATTTCAAAGTGCCAAACACATAGAAAAGCTTTTTTTCTCTGTCTCAAAATACCCGATGAAATGGTTTCTAACATACCTGTAAGTGTGTTATGTTTCTGTCAATATTCATGGGAGAGGTGACACAGTTTTCCGGGATGTATTTGTAGTCATCTGGGTAGGGTTCACTGTCGACAGCATTGACACAGGGGATGGGAACTTTCTCCTGCCCCAGAGCTATGTCACTGCAAACAAAACAGACTCTGCTTAAAGGCTGTCCAAGTTTTTAAAGTCAAGAAAATCTGACGTAGAGATTCTGGAAATCAAAAAAAAAAAGAAAAAGAAAATGAGCGATCAAAACTGTAGCGTTCCAGTATCTGATAAGCCTTTAAGTCACAGATAACTCAAAGTGGCCTTCCAGCATAGTCAAGCATCATTTCAACCTGTGAAGGACTTTATCCTCTGCGCGACTGAGCCTGATGTTCTTGGCATCCCTCTCCTTCCTGTTAGCCTGCAGGGCTGCCCAAGACTTTGAATTGTGGTTGCAGCAGTCTGAAGGAGTTTCTCCCTCGCGGTTCTTGAGGAACACATCTGCTCCTCGAGACAGGAAAAGCCTGAGGCAACAAAGAGCACATTTTACTGATCATCATTGACAAGTCACTTCAGACCAATTTCTTAAATTGCTCTTGTGAATCAATCCTCTAGTTTTACACTACAGGTCAAACAGGTTATTCCATTTTCTTGCAAAGTGTGTCTATTTTTTCCCTAGACTCAGTAACTCACGTGACACAATCCAGGTGATTCTCCCGAGCAGCGATGTGTAGAGGAGAGTCTCCGTGGATGTTGACAGCCTGCAGATCACTGCGAGCATTCAGCAGCAGCTCAGCGATCTCCACACTGCCAGAGAACGCTGCCCAGTGAAGGCAGATGTTCTCTTCCTTAAAAAACAAGGAAACAGTTATATTAGATTTCATTTTTTCTATAAAGTGTGTCAAACACAAGATGGACAGTGTCCTTAGCCAACCTTGTCCCTGATGTTTATGTCAGCTCCGTTGGACAGAAGCAGCTTCACCTGGTCCACATGTCTGTACTCTGTTGCCCAGATCATGGCTGTCCAGCCTCCATCGTCCTGAGGAGAAACAATACCTTCAAGTCAGCAAACTTATCATGAAATTAAAACACCCACAAAAAAGCAACAATGACAATTCCCACAATCACCTTGAAAGGAAACCACTGCTTTTATCAAATCCTTAGAAAACTACTTTTCAGTTTGTGCTTTGAATGAATGTTGTTTGTGAACCTGCCTCCTGTGGATGATTTCACTTCTACAGTTGTCAATTTTGACAAGGTTTTAGCGGGTCGTCTCCTAACCGAAGATTAGCGGTTCGATTCCCAGCTTGTCCAGTCTACATGTCGCAGTGACCTTGAGCAAGACACTGAACGCCCCAGTTGCTCCTGGTGATGACACCGGTGTGTGAAGGCGTGAGTGCGAATGGGTGAACGGCCAAATAGTGTGAAAGCGCTTTGAGTGTGATGTAAAGCATAGAAAAGCGCTATACAAGTATTAAGACCATAAGCACATTTACCTTTATTTAGTGAGAATGATAAGATTATGGCTGCGTCCGAAACCGCCTACTACCATACTGTATAGTAGGTGAAAAGCAGTAGGCGAGGCGATCGAGAGGAGTTATCCAACGAAGACTTTACGGATGTAGTACGTCCGAATCTCATTCATACTACCAGGCTTCATACTATACAGTACCTACTGTTTTAACGGTCAGTAAGTAGGTACTTCATCTCTTTCAGTACGTACTGTCACAGTATGCGGTTTCGGACGCAGTCTATCTCTCCAGTATCCACAGTCAAATGCTTGAACCCAGGTTGGACTTGTACAAGTATTTAGCAACTTACTGCAATCACTTCAACGCAACACCTTAAAGGAACAGTTCGACATTCTAGGAAATGCTTTGTACAGTACACAAGACTCTACTTTGTCCCATTTTGACTTGATTTATCAGAAAATGTGTAGAATCTTAGTTAATGCACCTTTAATTCTTCCTTTAAATACTGCTGTATCTCTCCACACAGGCTCTACTTGCTGTCACCTAACATCTTTCATGTCTTGGGGAATTTCATTATGTTGATTGGGAAAATTATTTTGTCATTTATCTATCATGCCTTGACAGGTGAATTAAGAAGCAACCCCTTTGAGCCTGACAGTTAAATGTGAAGAAGCGAACAAGTATGTTTCCAAATACCAGCACAGAGAGTGGCATCTGTGTATGGCCAAACAGCCTGAGGTGTGATCAGCTCGAGGAGAAAGTGACCGGACAGCAGCATCAAATGCTACTAATGATGAGTGTTACATGGTGATATCCCTGAGCAGACCTGAATGACAAAATAACTGTACTGACCTGACAGTTGATGTTGATCAGTCCTGTGGACAGAAGGTGCTCAACAATCTTGTACTGACCAGACTTTGCCGCTAGATGGAGACATGTGAACCCTTCAACATCCTGACAACAGCAGAGAATCTGATTATTGACCCTTTCTTAAGTCTCAAGGTAAAGAGCCATGAAAAATATAAATATCCATGTGATCGTTTCTTTAGCAAGAATGACATTTGACATCAAGTAAGGTTTTTGCTATTATTTGAACAATCAAGTTCAGACTTCTATCACATCTTCCACAAAAACTGACAGCATGATTTTACTCATCACTGATAAAACCTCCCAGGAGAAATGTGATGCAGGTTTACCTTGTGCATGGCGCTGGCGCCAGCTCTTAGGAGGTACAGGACCGTGTCCATGTGGTTGTTCTCACAGGCCTCCATCAGTGGCGTCCGCTGATCTTCATCACACATGTCTAAGTTTGCACCAGCCTAAATTGTCACACACCAGACAGTCAATGTAAATGCTGCCATTAAAGGGATGGGTGGGGGTTGAACAAAGTCTACAGATTTCAAATTCTACAAGGAACTGTTTGACATGTTTCACTTTAAAACCAGGCAATGAGGATCTATGTCAACCACTTTCATTATCACAGCAGTAACAGCACTGTAACATGGCAGAACAGAAGCATGACCTTACTTGTACAAGCATGTCACAAATGTCCTTGTATCCTCCTTCAGCTGCAGCATGGAGCGGGGTACGTTTGTTCTGAGATTCCATCTTAAAGTTAGGGTCGATACCGTCCACTGGAAGGTAAATGAAGAAGGAAATAAATTTATTTTAAAAAAATATAATGTGCATAAAAAACAGAAGTAAGAAACATAATATGAGAAGACGTACAGAAGACACGATGAACAGCAGGATTGCTGAGACATTTATAAATACACCAGGTGAGGCTGACATACCCAACATGAGCAAGACCCTTTTGAGTTCTCCCTGTTTGGCTGAGAGGTAAAGTTGCTTGGGGTGAAAACGCAGCTTCTTGGGTCTAATCAAAACAGGCATAAAAAAGTTTGCCTGAAGGTTTTAGATTTTTGATCATTCAGATAAATTAAAATGATAGTCTTGTGGTAGGGCTTACTTTTCTGTGTCAAGAGCTACCAGGATGCCCTCTAGAGTCTCTCTAGGTGGTCCTGGAAGGACTGTAGGTGCGGCCGTTGTTCCAGTCCCAGCCTGCAGCGCTGTCGTTCTAGATGACCCAGGAACAGCAGAAGTGTCGAGTCCATGTGCAGAATGAACTGACAATGAGCTGTCGGCCCTGCCGCTGATGTCTGCCCTGACAGCCAGGTGAGAAGAGCTGGAACACAAATAGGCCTTTAAGTTATGCAGTGCATGAATAACTTATCATTGCATTCCTTGAAGAAATCAAGAGACCTAAACTTCTTTGAAAGGAAACAGCAAGAGAAATATCTTGCCATTATAATGTTTGCATTTATTCACCAGTAGCTTCTCTTGAACATCACACCTATCAACAGTAATGTCAGATAGCACCCCAGTTGGTAATGTACCTGCCAGTAGTGGTGTCTGCGCGGCCCTCGGGGGCCCCAGGTGTAGCAGGTCCATGTGTAAGTGCGGGAGGCACAGTGGAGGTGGTGTCAGCCTTGGCGATGGTGACTTCCTTGGCCTTGCTTGCCTCTTCTCCACAGTGGGGACAGAAGCTTTGACCTTTCAGCATCGAGGCACAAGCGCGATGGAAACGGTGAGAGATGCTGATGTCTGGCTGGCACTCCATAAAGGTGCCCTGCACAATAAAAAACTGTCTTGGTAAGAAACTCTTACACAGCATAATAGTCCTCTCTGAGTAAGTTAACTCAAGGAAGCAGATTACTTTCAGAAAAAGCCTTTAAAAATGTTGCAACAGTCTGTTTTCTCTTAAACCCCAGTCTATGGGGGATATTTACTAACTATGTCCCAAATTACCGTCAGGTGTGGAAAATATTGCAGCACCACAATTTTTAAATTAAGTGGCGTATTTACCAACACTGATGTAAATGAGCAGAGCTGCAGGTGTGTTAATTTGGCTGCGCTTCAGTTGGTAAGGACGCGCCTGTAGTGCACAGGTGGACCCAGAGGGATGGTAGAAGGTGTGTTTACTGCGAAGGAACTTTAATATGATTGGGGGAAAAAAACAACAAACATATTTCAGAGCTGCAATCATGCAGTCTCCTGCCAGTCAAATAATCTTTTACTTTGTTCAGTAATTGAAGCATGGTATGACCTGAAAGCCTGTATAAGTCCTCCACATTCTCCTCTGGTGAGTTCTTAACTCAGACAAGGTCTTGGATGACTGACAGCTGTCATGGTGAAAGCATTTCTGCAAATTTTACACCTGCTTTCTACTGAATTTCAGCCACAGTTCCCTCTGCCATAGCGCTAGCAAATCAGGCACTGAGGGTCGTTGTTTTTGCTCCCCTGAACAGGAACACCTTAAAATGCATAGCGCATGAGACCAAACGGGAAAAAACAAAATCTTTGTTTGAAAAAACTGGACCCAGACAAATCTTTTGCATTATTTTAAGCTCAGACTTTCCAGTGAGACAGGATAAAACCACAGCTGAGGGCCTAAAACTGATACAGTGACTGTGCTTACAGCTCTGCAGAAGAAGCCACAGCCAGGGCAGCACTGGTGCTTCACCATGCCATTGCGGTGGTCCTCGCACAGAACCAGCAGCTGAACAGAGTTGGAGGGTCGCATCATTTCATGTTTCAGTATGGCACCCTGGCAGCGGGTCAGCTGTCCATCAACACTCTCTGTGGCCATACACTTCCTGTCTGCCAAGATGAGAATCTCTCGACTCTTGGGCGTCTCCATCCGACAGCTGCACAGAGGAAGCTCCTGGGCCTCCTCGACTGCTGTCCCTGAAATGCCTGCCAAGAAATAAACTCTGACTGTTGTGTGTATCCAGATGATATGCAGTAATGTCACTTTTTCCGTTAACACCATCCCCTTATAACCACTGACAGAAAGGCTCGACAGGGCTTGATTTGTTTTTATACTAGTGCCATTGTGATACCAGAGTTTTGCCCCTGATATCAAGCAAACTAATAAAATGAGAAGGACTGCATTCTGTCTCATTTTCATGTGATGGTAAAACGGTAACTGGACTTCACTTACAGTACATAGGGGGTTTTCTACCTTACCTGGACAAAGACACTGACAGATTCACCCATCCACCCATTCACACACACACACACACACACACACACACACACACACACACACACACACACACACACACACACACCTGACGCAGAGCTGCCATGCAAGGTGCTGGCCTGGCCACTGGGAACAACTTGGGGTTCAGTGTCTTGCCCAAGGACACTTCGACATGTGGACTGGGGAGAATGGGAATCAAACTGCCAACCCTGCGATCAGAGGTCGACCCACTCTACCCCTTGAGCCACAGCCGCCCCCCTGTGATTTATCAAACAATGTGTAAAATCTTAGTTAACGCACCTTTAAGTGAAACAAATACATCAGGTGATGTTCTCACTGATTTCCTTACTGGAGAAGCAATGAACCAATCAAAGCTCTGTAGATGAGAATGGTCTGAAGCTCCGTAGCTTTTAAGACACAAATGTGGGTAAAACACATGGGATGGATTACAAGCAAGTCTTCTAAGCTCACCTTTGTTCTGTGAGGGAGCTGTGGGCTCTTGGGGCTTGCTGAGGCTGACAGACTCAGGTGGGGGAATCTGTGTGTACTCCTCCCCATCGCCTGAGTGGGCCTCAGGCTGAACCACCGCCTCCGATTCTGAGCAGAACGGTGGTCAATTAAGAAAAAATTCAGCTTCACTTTACCATCAAATGTATACAAGTCACTAAAAGAAGGAAACAGAAAATATAGCTGCTAACAATAATGCTATAATTCAGTTCCATCTGAATATTTTCAGGACCCTGTGACATGAAAAAGAAAACCGAAAGCAATAAACACTGCGCTGTGTTCAAGTGAGCTGGATTTTAGGGATGAGTGAACAGAAAACTCTTGAGGAAGATCTGAATAAGTGTGTTCACTGAAATTAAGCTACAGTTGAGTGAGTCAGAGTCATTTCATCATATAATAAGGTTTTCCATAAAGAGAAGATTTCCAACAGGAATATTTTTTTATGTCTGTGGGGAATATTTAAATGCAAGAAAAAGTATTCATACATAAATAAATAAATAAAATAAAAAAGCTTAATATAAGAGAGGAAGTTTCCTCCTGATGGTCAGCAGGTGGACCACAGGAAAACAGCTGGATGAGTCAGTATAGGTGTGTGTGTGTGTGTGTGTCAGGAGCAGGGAGCACCTTTGGCCTTTAGCCTCCTCTTTCGTTTCCTGGATGGTCTGAGCCAAGCGCTGTCTCCTTTTGTTTTCTTTTTCAACTTCTTCTTCAGACTGGACTCTGTGCTCTGAGGCAGACAAATTTCATTCATAGAGTTGATTTCAGTAACAGCCAGAAAGTAATTTAATAACAATAACAGGACATTTAACTCCACTCAGTCAAATGAGGTAGTGCTATGAGATGAGAGCTAATGCTCTGATGTAATTAGGTGGAGAAATGATGGTGAGCGGGTCTTACCAAGTCAGACTCTGTGCCCTCCTCCTCTCCCTCATCTTCTCCAGACTCTTCAGACTCCGGCTCGTCTCCCACCTCCTTGGGGGGTTTGTTACCATTATTAAGCACATATCAAACTGGCTTCAGTCCAATATGTATTACAAGTCAAGCCGTGGTAACTTGATGAAAATTTAGCTGTTGTGTGGATATTTAATGCAAGGAACACACAATAATCTAACCTGGGAAGCTGGCCCGCATGTGAAAATGCTGGTTATATATTCCATGTTGTCAGCACTGGTGCTGTTTAAGATGCTAATAATCACTGATTTTTCACTCTCTTAAAGTAACTGCATGCCTTTTATTAAGTCTCCTACTTTCTACACACGGTTAACATGGATTATATACAGTTCAACAGTCCTGGCAGTCCTCAAGTTCTGCACTTTGCACAGATTAGAAATGACCATAAATCTGGAGTATACGGAAGGATGAAATGTGCCAACCTGAGAGATGAGTTCAGGTGTTCCTTCCTGAACAGCACTGACAGGTTCTTCTGCTGGCTGTGGTTGTTCCTCTTCCTCAGACTCCACCTCTTCTGACTCTTCCTCCTCTGATGCATTTTCCACCTTCTCACCATTTATATTTACTACCTCTTTAGTCTGTAAAATAAGGAACTGAGATGATCATAGCAACCTCAGAATACCGGAGCACCACATCTCTAAAACTGCCAACGTTGCTAGTGAATGTCTGGTGAACCCAACATGAACATGAAACATGAAACCTTGCGAATTTGCTGGCATAGTTCCTGATTCACATTTTTGCCAGTTTAAACTATTTTCTTTAGGCAAACTTCTTGTACAGTTGTTTTTCTTTGGACAAAATAATTATACCAACTTAGCATTACACTCCTACAGCCTCAATATCTGTTAATAGACTGTGATGTACTCAGGTGAGCACCCCTTTAGAAGACTATTGAATGTGGACAGGTTGTAGACTCACGAAAAGATTGAATAAACGTGTCAGAATGACCTTACAAATTTGCCACTTTTGATTTGCTGTTTGTTCTAAAATGAGTGGTTAAACATAGCTATTGCTTCGTTGGTTTTTTTTTTTTGTTAAATTTAATTGAAGTGAGCAGCGCAGACCTGTGGGCTCTTGGTGACCTGTTGTAGTTCCTTAAACATTTCCAGCATTGTCCTCTGTTTAAGCACTTTGGTTTTCTTCTTGGGAACTAGACTGTACGTTCCCATCCTCCTCTTCTTCTTCCGGGATGACAACACTCCGGAGAAGGAGCCTAGAACGCAAGAGAACAGCACACACATTTACAGCTGAACTAACAATAATGATTATTCTTTGTCCTAATCAGCAGATTATTTTTCTTTGAAACCAAACACCAAAGCCAGGTTTTGTACATTAGATGGGTTTCTGTCCTGTGTTGCTGGAACTTGTCTGACCTAGTTGGAGCTTGGCTGGGGCTGGAACTGGAGGAGCTGCAGGTACTGGAGGAGCTGGTGAAGCTGTTTCTGCTGAAGCGGACGTATCGGGTGGGCTTTGAGGTAGATGGTTCTGAGAGAAGGCCTGCTGTGAGGACTTCTGTGCGTCAGGTGCAACATGAGTCTCCATTTTGGCACACTTTGCTTCTCTTAATTCCCTGTTAAGAAGCTGGAGGTGACAAGAAACAAACGCTTTTAGGTTCGCTGTGGTATTTGCCAACAGCCTACTTATGTTTAGTAAGGTTCACTGTTTTCTTTTTTAACCAATCTTCACCAGGAAAAAAACCCAAATTGTTTTTAAAGAACAGATTTGTTTTTACTTTCCAGACAAAATTCCCAATTATTCAGGGCATATTTAAGTAATGGTAACTTAATTAGTGTTAGAAATGATTTAACTCTTGTTAGAAATAATTTTATCAAATATAGTTGTAAAAGAAAGCATTTTAGCTCTGCTATATGAGCAACCTTAAAACTATTTGATTAATGCCATTTCCTTGCTTAACTGTGCCATCTAGGATGATTACATCTGTGTTAGTATTAATACTGGTCTTTGTATAAAAGGACAGTTTTACATAATCATTTTTATGATTTAGTTTTGAATGTTTGAACCCCAGGAAGACTGGTAAACATCGTAGTGAAAACTAATGGAAATCCAGATAAATAAACAAGTATCTGAAAACAGTGGAGCCTTGGTATACAGCCTTTTTTCATGGCTGTGGGCTCATTAGTTCCAGTGACAGAAAATCATAACACTACACTAGCAGATATTAATGTAATGTCCATGTGTCCTCATAATTTGTTTAAATGTCCATATGCTTTTGTCATTTAACGTATACCGATATTGGAGACACATGTGCATGTATCTTGCTAACTCTATCACCCTAATAGAGAGTAATGAGACACCAGGGGCAGGAAACCCCAATGAGCTGCTGATAATGTACCAGATTGTGACCATTTACCTTTTGTGCTGGGCTGACAGCGGGTCTGGACATAGTCTTGCGTGCTCTGTGTATCATGACGGGTGCTGGAGCTATTGCATTTTTAGTGTCTGATGCCCCCTGTCCCGACGTAGTCCCTGTTGTACTAGGGTCAGTCCTTAATGCACCTGAACTCTGTGCACATTCTGATGCCGAGGCAGGGAGTGTTTTGGCCGTGTGTCCCCCTGTTGGTGAGCCCGAAGGCAACTGGTTAGTCCTGTGAGGGTAAACTCCCAGACCTGGCGTCGCTGCAGAGCCTTCCTGCTGCTTAAGAAGTATGAATCCATTGCTTCCAGTGACAGAACCGTGCGGAGGCTCCATGTCTGGCATGCCATTTTCATTTACCAAGAGTGAAGTCTTGTTGCTGCCTGTTGGGGAGCTGTGTGTCGGGCTCTTGTGCCTTGTGTCGTTGCATTCGGTGCCATTGAGCATTGCCTCTACCGTAGGGGAAGAAGCCAGTCTTCCTGATGCCTCTTTATCTCCATCTGCAAATCAAAACCAAAGGCATAATGCAAACTACAATGTAAGCAAGTCACTTTCACAAATTAAAAAAGTGCTTTCCAAGTTGATTTGGCCTAATACCTGATGTCTCCTCTCCATTGCTTTCTGGATCAAGTCCCTCTTTCCTTGCAGATGCAACCTTTTCCACACTGTCCTTGGCTAGACCAGCAGGCTGATGAAAAAAGAACACACGTGAAAGGATATTATGTCAAATTAATCTGTGAAAAAAAATCATTTAGCCTGTAAAATGTCTAAAAATCGTGAAAAATTGCCTATAACAAAATCCCGGTAGCCTCTTAAAGTGCTTGTTTTATGTAACCAAAAACCCAAAACACAAACTTTATTCATATACAATACTAGCACCCAAACAATTTATAAGGCCATTAACAGAAAATGGATCACCAACAATTTTGATAATTAGTTGATTCAAGTACTGTCTGGTTTTAGCTTTTCAAACATGATGATTTTCTACTTTTCTGTTTTTTTTATGTGAACTGAATATTTGAGGGCTTTAGGTGATAGCTCACAGTTAAAACAAACAAAAGCAGCAAACCCTCACATCTGATAAATTTAAACCAATAAATAGTTCATTTTTTAGCTTGAGAAATTAAATAATTATCAAAATTGGCAACTGACTAATTCTAATTTAAAAACCCTCTTTTCTTTGTGCTTTTTAGTGATGTGTCTTTGTCACAGTCAAAGAATATCAAGTAAGTACTGTCTTTTTTCATTTTATGCTACAGCCAACCACAATAGCAGTAGATGGCTGCTGCAGCTTCAAAAGAAATTTCAACTGCCCACAAACCATCTTTCTGTCTCACAGCGGGGAGCAGTTGAAGAGGCAGCACCAGGAAATGTAAAACTCTCTTCCTCCAGAGCACACTGTCAACCTTGTGCCAAGTCTGGGAAAAAAAATGCAAAGGACACAAAAGAGGCCCGAATCCACTAGATGACATGTTTTGCTTTCTTTTTGGGTCCATCTTTGCTTGTCAAAACCACCCCCTTTCTGATGAACTCACCAAACTTAGGAATCTTTGTAGACCAAAAGGTCAGAAGAGTGTGGACATAGGTCAGTTTGACATTGAAGAGCAGCCACCCACAGATACATCAACACAGAACAGAATGTCTTACACACTCATCGACATCATGTGAGGCTCAGACAGAGGAGAATAAAGGCAGATATAGGGACACACATGCTGACTGGGCCAAGTGTCATATCTAGTGAGAAGTAAAGAGCAGGAACTGAGTCTGAATGTCCCAAGAAAGCAGAGGACACATCTCTCCAGAGTCAGTCAATCAAAGGACCTAAAAGCTTCATTTTAACAAACTGATCCAACCAATTAAATTCTTTTCTCCAAGAGCTCTGACAGTCAAACCTACAGGTGTAACAGAGAGCATAGGTCTGGAAACCTACAAACAACTGAGACCCCAACTAAATGAACCGTCAGGACAAACTTCCCCAATCATTCTCCAAGCATATGCATCTGAGTCCCTGAGCCAAACACGGACATACACCCTGTCAAACAGCAACAAGAGTTAATCCGTGAACACCATGACTGAGGTGTTTCCCAAAGAACACCTAGACTGGGACAATCCCCACTGATGTATCTCAAGCCATCTATTGAGCACATGTGAGGGTAAAGAGAAGAAGAATCCAGCAGTTCCTTTTTTTCTTGGACATAGGAAAGCCAGTTACAAAAGAACACCAGCCTCATCTCTCCCCCTGGTGGTGGAAAGTGGAACATACACATTGGACACAGAAAGGAGAGGGGGGAAGGGAAGCAGAGAAGGCTGGCTGCAGATCTCCGCCATTTCGCAAGCAGATTGTTTACTGACACAATGCAGCCATTGCAGCAGTTTTCCACTAGATGGGGAACATAGTGGTTTGGAAGCTCATGGATGGGGTTATGGGAGCTGCTGAAAGAAGATCTAATTATGAAGCCAAGCCTATGGGTGCTACTTAAACCTTAAGTGGCTCATCAAAAAATGGAAAGATGTTAGAACAAACCAAAGTTTCAGCCTTGACTGCAAAAAAAGGCTCCAGTGGCTTAGAGTTTACACTCCAGACTGGACCTGCTTTTGGAACTGCAAATATGCTTGATAATCATTACAAATCAGCTCTTAACAGATTACATCTAATATTTCTCTTCCTATAAATATTCTAATGATTCAGTCATTCACTGTGCCTACAACATAATGCGAAGCTGGTATGTGTCAAAGCCTAGATGTTGGCACTGATGTGACCTATCTTTAGATCTACTGCAAGAGGTGTGTGGAAAAAATGAATTACCTAAACACAAAGGACAAACATTTGACAATCAGCCATTACACTGCCAGCAAAGTGCCAACGCCCTAATGAGTTAAGACGATAACTAAGCACAAATGAATTCGATGCAGCCTAATAAAACAAAGGATGAGTTGCCTTCCTCCCCCTCTAAAGCAGCGGCTCCCGCATTTTCTGCATATGAGCCCTTAAAAAAATGGAGCAGTGCCTACCCTCATCTATGGGCTGTTCCCTATGTGCTTTTCCCTTCTTAGATGGATTTGTTTGAATGTTCTCAAAAGCCCTGAGGAGTTTGAAAGTAGTCAGTATCTCACAAAAAAGTCAAGACAAAAAAAAACTTACTTT